GGTACCGGGAACCGAACTCATGACCTTGCGCTTGCCAGGCAGGCGCTTTGCCACTGAGCTAAATCCCCAGCCCCAACCCAAAATTTTAACCTTATGCTTCTTTCAGATTTCTAGTTTCAGCTGGTCCCCACAGATGATTCAGACAAAGTACCCTAAAAACAGACCTAACTATGCCCTTCCTCAGCAGGAAGTAGCTACCAACAACACAGGTCACCCCTATCCCTATTAGATCAAGTCTAAAATGATAAGTCACAAGGCAACCCCCCCATGGGGAATTTAAGCTCTTTTATTAAGGAGTTAATAAAAACTCCCTCCTCTTCACCTGTTTCTCTCCAGTTCCCCTCAACAAAAGCCAACCCTGACCTCATACACCTTGGTAGAACTAGATGTTCAACTTTTACAAACAACCCACCCCACTTGGGCTGTTCTGGCCCACAAACACCCTCCTGAAAAACAGCTTAAAAACCCCATTCTTTGCTCAGTCTGGGGCTGTCCTAGTTCTCTGGGCAGCCCGCCATGTTGCTGTCCCCCTCTATAAGGCTCCTCTCATGTCAGAAGGTCTGTTCTGGTTCTGTGTGGGTCTTGGCCCAATCATATCAGGCAGATATATATATTCACAGAACTCTGGAAGGCTGAGGCAGGAGAACCAACAGTTTAGGCCTACCCTGGGCAACATAGGAACTTAGCCAGACTTCAGGTTTTTTTCCCTTGTTTGAGACAGGTTCACACTGTACAGACCATGTTTGCTTAGCTTTGAACTCACAGGGCAGCCCAGGCTGGTATTGAACTTGCTATGTTCCTTCTGCCTCAGCCTCCTGAGCGCTAGGATTATAGGCAAGTTCAACCATGCCTGATGATCCAGGTCTTACAACAACAACAACAAAATAAATGGGCTGGGTATGCAGTTAAGAGCAAGGGCTCGAGGGGCTAGGGGTTTAGCTCAGTGGCACAGTGCCTGCCTGGCAAGTGTGACATCGTGAGTTTGATTCCCAGTACCAGAAACAAACAAACAAACAGAGCAAGGGCTCAGGGTAATCACCAGAAGAGCCATCAATCAATATTAAAATTGAAAAATGAAAAGAAAGTATGCTGAGCAATGTATATTGATACAGGGACACCAAATTCAGTTTGGGGACCACCACCATGAAAAAAGAAATCAAGTTTATTACAGCTTTATAAAGACAGTGATGTCATGCCCACAGAGAACAGATCAGAAAACTGCACGAATCCGTGACTTGGGATTTGGTCACCACTGGGTGAGGTGATGCCGGCCTGTTCAGCAAGAACTAGGGAGGCTGACACAGAAGCATGGATATGAGTTTGAGGAAAGCTTGGTCCACGTAGTGAGTTGAAGGCCAGCCTGATACACTCAGATAGATCCTATCTCAACAAACGAACAAACAAACCACACTTTATGATCATCCAGTCTCAGCTTCAAATGTTGCTGATGTTAAAGGCATGAGTGAAAACTTCTCACTCAACACTGACACAAAAAAATACAATGCTATCCCTGAGGCAAGAAGGGAAACTTACTCTCTCATGCCACAATTGTTAAAGAAAGGGTGTGTGTCCAATGGAATCAGCTGAGGGAATTGGCTGGAGAAGGTGAAGTCTAAGACAGGAGCTGCTGAAGACCTGAGAGTGCAGCTCCTATGGGCAGACAAGGAGGTCACACTTTTCCAAGTCTCCTTGGGGAGGTTGGAGAGGAGGAAACATGGGTCCAACCCCAAGACCCAGTCATCCTAGTTGACCTAACCAATGGCCTCTTCCTTTCAGGTCAGGGTTCTTCCCACAGGGACATTTCCCAGGAAAGATGGATTCTCAGGTAGTGGCCACGACATTTAGTCTGAAAGACAGTAATTTGAGGCTGGGGAAATGTAAGTTTGAATTTAAAAAAAAGAAACTCAGGAATTGAGGTAAACTAAACTGAAAAGATCTAGAAGTCTTTTGTTTTGGTTTGTTCTGTGTTTTGTCACACTGGTGGTCAAGCAATAAGCCTTTGCCACAGGCTGTGTCTCTGTTCCTTGGTTTGTTTTGCTTTGTTTGTGTACAGTGTGATGTCACTGCAGTCGTAGGAGAGCACCCTTCCCTTGGACAGTGAAGCACTTTGTCAGCACAGCCAAGGACCAAAAACTGAGTCTCCTCTATTCACCCAGGATCATTGTTTAGGATTTTGGTGTCAGGTCAGCATTAAGAGTCCCAAGGATGGAGGTTTTCCCATTGCCCTTACAATGTTCCTTGCCTGAAGGGTAGCCCTGTGCCACAGGACTGATAAGGCAAAGGAGACCCCATTTTTAATTTTCAACTACATCTTCAGAGAAGTTACTTAAAGTTCACTGAAGCTGTAGCTCACTCTAGGTGACTTCATTATCAACTCAGCACAGCAGAGTCATAACGGGAACAGAACAAGCAGGACAAATTGGGAGGTGGGCTACAAGTTAAACTGCACTGGTCATTTGGAATTTGGTTCTCTGATCTTCTGGGAGAAGTAAACTTTGTGACGATGCCCAAAAATGAGGTAATAGTTACTATAGAAACCTAAAATATATTTCAACTGAAAGTGAGACCCAGATCAGCACAGACATCTTCTCTAGCTCCTGGTTAGGGACTGTCCCTCAGCCAGCTAATAAAGCTTGCTTGTTCATGCCTTTTTGGTTTTTTAGTGAGTGACTTACTTGATGGACTCACTTGGCATATCAGGGTCCTGTCACCAAACGGTTTGGTATCAAAGCAGCTCACATGGACCTATTTTCCCTAGAAGTTTCCCATTTGTTTCTTCTCCCCTGGGCTCAGTACTGGCCTCCCACAGCAGGTGTGCTCCTGAGCACAATCCCTGCACTTCCCAAGGGAACCCTACTTTAGAGTTTTGTTCTTTGAAACACATTTGCAGTAGGCAACATTAGAGTAATTCAAAAGAGAGTCACAAAAATGAGGAGGAAAAAGATGAGCAGAAAAGTCCAGGCCTGTAATCAGGGCAATCTGGACAAATGAGGCAGAGAATTCAAGAGCAAGTCCAACCCAGACATTCAGAAGGACTTTGCTTTGATACAAATATTCTGTAGCTGCAGAGCAGTGGTCAAGCTCTACGATGGGTCTAGTAACATGGGTATATTTGGAAGGGGGAGAAAAACCAGGAAACATGGAGGAAATATGTGGCTGGAGAAAATTAAATAATTGGAGGGAATGAACAAAATACAATAACTCTATTTGTTGCCATGAGTTCCTCAGGCCCAACTGCATTGGTCACAGAACTGAGAGCCTTTTCTCCTCAGTTACTGCAGACTCATGAGCTCTTAGCTGGAAACCAGGTACAAAGATCCTGGAGGAAACCCGATGATTCACATGAAACACTATTTCTGAGCATTTCCTTACTTTTATCTACACCTTCATCTGAAGCCTGGATTGACATCTAGCAACTTGAATTATAATTTCTGATCCTGCCTAGGACTCAGGCCCACAGAAATTACTTCTACTCTCAGGTCCATAATTCTCCAACTTTGCTGCCTGCTGCCAACCTGGCCTTTCTCACTCACACTGAAGGAAGAGCTCTGTGTTCCTGGGGCCAGAAGACAGCATGGGAAATGTGCATTCAACTAGATGGGGATACAGGCCGGGCATGGCTTAGGGCGCATGTTGTACAATGCTCGGTTGCAACACAGTTCATGGAGAACACAGAACCAGATTGTCCTGGGGTGGTTTAGTGGTTTCATCATCCTCCTAAGTGCTTCATGAGCCTCGTTCCGCATCTGCTGAATAGTACCATGCCTGGGAACATCAACCTCTGGAGGAACAGAGTACAGCTCCTTCTTTAAGTTCCTCAGCCTGGCAGTGTGGTCCAGCAGCTTCTTCATGGTGGCTATGGATATGAAATTCCTTATGAAGCAGAAGGTAGTGAGCTGGGAGCAGCAGCTCAGCGAAGGCAGAAAGGCGCAGACCTGCGCATCTGTGATCCCACAGTTTTCCAAACGCAGGATGGTCAGGGTGGCTGCGACATTATCCAGCAGAATTCGCAGGGGCTGAGTACTAAAATGAGTCAGCCTGATACAGCTCAGATCCAAGTGTTTTAGCTTTCGGGTCTGCTCAGCCTGGGGCAGCTGGTTCCAGTCAGAGTGTGAAAGCTGGCAGTGAGTTAATGACAGGATCTCCAAGGGGCACTTCAGGCACCTGTAGAAAACCAAGGAGGTAAATCTGAAAATTGGTAGTGAAAATTAGTGAGTGGTGGAAACAATGAAGTGGACCAAGTGTCACATGACTCAGCCCAATTTAGAGTTGACATTCTTGTTCCTTGCTTATATATCTGTGTGACATTACCATCACTTGCTTACATATCTGAGTCTTGAATCTCTGCAGTCCCCTTTCCTCATTCCCAAGCAGAAAACCACAGCTGTTTCCTGCTGAGGGCAGCAGGAGACAGGCAGGAATGAAAAATCAGGCAAGATCTGGCCACAGGTACTGGGGTTGTTTGAAAGGCTGTCAGCAGAGTGTGCATCCTTGTTCCCTGTGCTGGACCTCTGTCCCTTGACATCAGCTTCAGACACCTGCTCTTCCCATCCAGTCACCAGCTCACGCTGGGGTACACCATTCTCATGGTGACTGCTAGCAGGATCAGAGATGCCTGGGGATTTCTCAGCACTGTAGCCCAGGTGGGATTCTTGAGAAAGAGTTCACACTCCTGCCCCCACTCTATCTGAGCCCACCTCTTGGCATTTTAGTATGGTGTTCCTTTCCAGTCTGGTTACTCAATTACAGAGGCAGTGTGACACCTTGTTATCATACTGAAGAGTGAAAAAACAGTATGTTTGACCTCTGTTTCACCTCCTGTGGATGGCACACCATCCCTATTCCCTAATCTTTCTGGAACAGAGCAAAGCTCTCCTGAGTGCAGAGAGCTCCACATCTTACCTGAGTACCTCGTCCAAGTGGCCTTCAAGGAAGTCAACAGAGTCCATATAAATCTCTTGCAGACTGTGAAGCTTAAGAAATTGAGAGGTGATTTTATTGAACAAGTCCTCTCTCCTCTCTGGGGAAATGACAGTAGGCACAGAGATGTCAGAAATAATTAGTTTGTGCAGATTTTTCATCTGTCCCAGAAAACAGGCGAATTGAGCAAATTCAAAGAATGTCCAGCAGTGACCCACATCCAACCCCTGCACCGAATCAACGTTCAGCATTGCGAGGAACTCTTTGATCCATTGAGGGCACAGGCCTGTAATACACAGCTTCTCACATTCCAGCTGTACCAGGTCTTCCCTCTCTTGCACCCACTTGAGGAGGTAGAATTGCACTGGATGCAGCCCTCCATCATTGATCCACAGATCTACAATCACCCTCGGCGGCTGGTTTTTTGCTCCCCTTGGCACACTCATCTCGGTTTTCCTCCTCTTCATGGCTGCAGAGGAGCAGCCTTCCAACTTGTTTTCAGCCCACACTCTCCAGAAGTTCTGGTGCATGACCCGCATATCTAGTACTTGCAGTTTCAATGTCCTGTGGGTGAAGCAGTAAGGACCTGAAAATTTAGGCCAGGACCCAGGTTCCTGCTCTGCCTTCCACTTCTCTGAGATCTGCTGCTATCTTCTCAACTCTTTCTATGCTGTAGATTTCTGCCTCTGCTTTTGCCTTTGAATCCAGCCCAGTCCCTACTCCCGGTGCCTGTGGGAGGAATCAGGAACTTCTTGCTCCTTTCACTGCAGCCCCCCACATCATCTGACCTCCCCATCTGGCAGTACATGCCCAGGTGGCCCCACAATACCTTAGGCTTCTCTGATCCTCTGCCAGTGCCTATCAGAAGCTCCTGCTTCACCCTGGAGCCCCCACTCTCCTGACACTTTCTGTCCCTTCCTGGAATCCCAGGGCCTCCCTCCAGGACACCTGAGTCACACTCACCTGCAGCAAACCTTCTGGCTCAGCAACACGTGAATCCCTTCCAGCACAGCCTGTAACATCCTTTCCTGCACCTGGACAGCATCTTCCTGAGTGTCCAAAGTCCCTTTTGTCCTCATCTCCATCAGTGCTCCCAGGGGTAGGCAGGGAAAGGGCCAGGCCAGCACCATGGCCTTCAGGACCTCAGCATGTCCCCTTGTGAAGGCCTCCATGAACACTGGTGGGAAGAGCTCCCCTGGCAGATCTTCCACAGCCTCCATGGCCAAAGCCTCGTCCCTCAGCAAGCTCTGAATTGCCAGTTTCTGTAATGTGTGTGGGGACTCGGTGCTCATCCTGCTGAAGCTGGAAGGGCAGGGGTGCTGGGGAAACACTGAGGAAATAGACATGCTTTCAGTCAGGGCTGAGACACCCCTTCTCACCCATCAGGAACCAACTTGCAGCCAAAATGTCCCTGACATGACAAGGTTGGAAGGGTCCCCACTTGGTCCCAAATCTATTTAGTGCTTATGGTCCCAAAGCATTACTTCTTCTTTTAGTGACACCAGGAGGAATGCCTGATCACACAGTGATGAAGCAAGGAGATGAGCAAAACTTTCCTTTCCAACTCCAGCACTCTGAACTCTGGACCTGCTGGGAATTGGGAACCAAAGATTCTGAACCTGACTCCTATCAGTTTTGCTAAAATATTCTGATCCCCATTCCAAGGAATTATATCCAATAAAATGGAAAAGTTATATGGTCCAGTCTCTAACTTATCAGTTTCCACAATGCACCTGGTCAAAAAAAACTAAGCAGACCATGAAATGAATGCCATGAGTTTTCATTGCAAAAAACTACAGAATCCTGAATTCCCCTCCTACCCCAGAGGTGGCAGGAGCAGGGAAGGGTCTCATCTGTCTGCCACCCATTTAGTTCCCTGGGTCATGCAAACCCCGACAGTGGAAACAGAGACTCAACGGGATGACCACTCAGCAGTGTGGGAGCTGGCTGGGGAATTTCTTAGGCTGTGAAGCCTCTTGTGCATGAAAATAGAACATTAACTCATGAGGTTGAAGTCTAGAGGATAAGGCCTCTGTCATTCCCAAATTTTTCTTTAGAAACTAACTTATGTGTTTCAGAAACCCTCTAAATTTTGTGGAAACCCCAAATGTTCTCTGAAATTATTGTTTGATTGGAGGTTTCAAATAACCAACTCAAGAGCATTATTCAGTTCTTCTTCATGCTAATGGGAGGCTGCACTGTAATCCATCTGACACCAGCATTCCTGCATCACTATAGGCTGCTATACAGCATGTAGCTCTCTCAACTTTGTTGATTTTGTTCTTCTTAATACCCTAAGATCCCTAAGATGCTACCAAAGCATCTAGCAATCTTTTGGATTTAATGATACAGTATTTTATTGAATTACATAACTATGGAATCTACAGCATGGTAGGATTCCATGGGTGTGTATCCAACCATAGGTTTTTTTTTTTATTCTGAGAATTTGTTTCAAAACAAAATATGGCCTAAGTGAAAAACTCCTATGTTCAAATCATAGTTCTAAATTATAATAACAAATTAAGGCATCTAAAGTTGGGAGTTGATGGGCAGGTGTGGTGCACCATACCTGCAATTTCAGCACTTGGGAGGCAGAGTCAAGCATTGCTGTGAGTTTGAGGATACAGCTTGAATTTAAAAACCAGCCTGAAGTACATAGTGAGACCTCTTAAACACCCAAAGAGAAAAAAAATGGAAAATTTACAGCAGAAATCAAACTGTTATGGAAGAGTAAAAATCTAAATTTTAAGTGTAAATCTACACCTCACATCTACTCATCTGAATCTACACTTAAAGCAACATTGATGGCATTCCAGGCTGCAGCTCACAGAGAGTGTTGAGGGCAGATGGGGTGCATGTGCTCAGGAGGGTGGTGACTCCCCAGGACTAGATGAGGTGGCCGAGCGCTCGGGGCTCTGAAGAGTCCAGGCAGCATCTCCAGGCTCCAGGCTCCTGGATGGCTACTCGGGGGATTTTATTGATTCCTGATCCTGTCTCTCTTTTCAGATAGTGCTTTTCAATCAGAGTGTTGATTCTGAGCCTCCACCCAGGTATCCTGACTGCTTCTCAGCTTTCACCGGATGAATACATAGATAGGAAGAAAAGTCCCATTTTGAATGTTAAGAGCTGAGAAGCGTTTGGAAGCTCAGGACTCAGGCACTGATGGACTCCACACCGTTGTTGAGTTTTACTCACATGTGACTGTCATAGCTCTGTGTGTGAGATGGGGCAGTTGTTATCCACTACTGACACTGGCAGAAAAATCCCCAACCTGAAAACCTTGGTTAGGGGGACTTTGGGCAAATAACATTGTCACAGGATTCCAGACTTAGAACAACAGTGTGAAGTCAGCGATGTCATCCTCAGGGAAAACGCCACGGCAGTCTCCATGCGTCAGCGGAGCCTTGGGTGCTGTGCTTCCTGAGAGCAGATCATGTGACCCCTCAAGGAAGAGAGAGGCCTCCTCGGGTGAGTCTCATCTTGAAGACTTAGATGGAAGCCAGGCTGAGTGGAACCTGCCTATAAGCCCAGCACTAGCAAGGCTGCGTCAGAAGACTCACCATGGGTTTGAGACGAGCCTAGTCCACATAAGTGTTCAAGGCTGGCCTGAAGTACATTCTGAGTTGAAATCAAGCTGGGCAACATAGTAAGAGCTTGGTTCAAAAAATAATAACAGTCACAAAACCCCAAGCCTATCTATCTTGAGAGACAGAAGCCACAAAATCATAAGTGTCATCAGAATCCTCTATTGCTACATGACACTAGCAGAAGACAGATGACAGGTGCCTTCACTGAGGCCAAAGACTCACCACGCTCAGATTCAGCTGAGGGTCACAGGGCTCCAGGAATCTCAGCAGGACCAGCGGCGACTGGCAGCTCCAGGACTGAGCATCTCCTCCTCTGCCCCTCTCCCCTTTTATCTCCCTTGTTAGCCACACCTTACCTTCCCAGCCCCTCCCTTCCTAGTAGACTCAGAGCCCTGACTGGGTCTCTCTCTCCCCACCCAGTTCACCCTGGTGATGCTCCTTCCTTGGCCTCTCGAGTGCTGGGATTTCATGTCTGTACAAGCATGTACAAATGTCAATTAGAATGATCTTGCCTGAAAATAAAAATTCAAAAAGGCTGGGATGTAAGCCCATGCAAATGTACTACATTCAAACCTGAGCTGTGAAAAAATAAAATGGTAATAAAAGCCCACAATAAGCGAGTGATACAGCTAAATGGTAGCAGTTCCTTGTGCTCAAACCCTAGTTCCACACTCACAACGAAAGGAGTTCATCTGAGGAGGGAGTCATTATCCAGTGGAGGACCCAGATGCACGAAGGGCCATGTTCTCAGGAGGGAGCTGTGCGAGGAGCATTGATGAACCTGGAAAGCAATTTGTGGATGGGCTGCAGCTA